GCCAGGGTGGGCCACAGGGCAGGCTGTCCAGAGAGACCACGCGCAGCCTCAGCGGGGAAGAGGACACCCGGGTAGGCTTAGGGTGGAGCTCAGGGAGGGGCTGGAGCCGGAAGGAATGGCTTAGGTTGGAGGATGGTGGGTCAGCTGCCCCAGGGAGCCCGGGGAAGGAATCACTCGAGGGCACTGACCTTCCTCCTGGTCCCTCCCTGACCATTTCCCCTCCCACTTTTGATGCCTGTTCAGGGAGCCCTGCCTTCCCTTCCTGGTCCAGCCACCTTTCCTCAATACCAAGTGGGAGTCACTTGGAGAACCACTCACCTGCCGCCTAGTCCGGGGCCAGAGGGGCAGCACTGACAGGCCTCCACGTCCGGGCTCCATCTCTGTCAACACCAGGAGCTCCCATCAGCTGTAGTGGACCTGGTCCCCCACCCTCATTTAGAGCCAGCTCGGAACATTAAGAGTCGAGTTCTCCTTTGTGCAGGTTATCCTTCCACTTCAGCTTCTCGAGGTGAGGGACAGGGGCTTGGGCAGCTGGACTCAGCCCAAGAGAAGTGGCTGCATCAAGAGCCTATGTGTTGGTGCTTTGCACCTGTTTCCTCTTCCTGATCTCACGACTCCATGGGGTAGATGGTATAATCCTCATTTTCCAGACAAACAAGACAAACAAGGCTCAGAGAAGCTCAGCGATTATCTAAGGTCCCATACAGCTGTGCGGGGAAGGACGGAACCTTCCTACTCTGTGCTGCAGGGCTAGAGCGGCCAGAACTGGCTGGAGAAGGGAGGAGTTGGACACCCTCGATCTCACAGAGAACTTTCTCTCCTTGTGGAAGAAGAGGAAGTTGTGGCCGGGAGAGAATTAGGATGCTTGCTGGTTGACCCGAGATAGCTGATGACAGTGAGGCCCAGGCTTCAGCCTGTGCTGCCCGCCCAGCACCACTGCACCTTGCTCCTCTATGACCTCTATCTGGACTCAGAGCCGACTGACCACAGAAGTCCTCTCTTCTGACCACAGATGTACCCTCAAGAGCCGGCAGATGGTGGGAGGCGATGAGCCCTCTAGGACAAGGGGCCTGGGCCATGGCTCCCTATGGCCACCAGGGGGCAGCATCTGCCAAGCCTGTGGACTCAAAGCGGGGTGGGCTTTTCTGCTACCTTCAGCCAGGTTCAGGCCTGAGCAACTCCCACAAGGGTGAGCCAGGCTTCTACACCATCCTGGTTGGTCTCTGAGAGCTGAGCCGCCCTGAGAGCTGGTCCTGGCCTATTCCCCTTCCAGCTTCTTCTGGATCTGGCATCCCGGCCCTGCTCCTAGAAGTTTCCGCCATGAACCATCCTTCCTGAGCCCAATCAGCCTTTCAGAGTCCCACCAGCTTTTGTGAGGACACACTGCTTGGCACTCCCAAACACCCCTCTGCGGCCCTGGAGCCCTCATGAGCCTTCACTAGCGGGCCTGCTCCTGGGTCCTAGTGGTCAGCTCCACCCCCATCCCCTAGCACACAGAATGTCTGCATACATGTGGACCAGACCTCCTCCCTAGACCTCCCTGGTGTGGTTCTTCAGGGCCAGGTGTGCTCAGCTAATGGAATAAAGGCCTGAGGAGCCAGCCTAGTGACTGTTTTCATGGATAGAGGGAAAGCAGGGCAAAAAAGGCTTAAGGACCCCCTGCACTAGGGGGAGCCCAGGAGCAGGTCTCTTGCGGGCAGCTCATGCCTTATGTCTGCCTTCCAACGGTCTGGGGCCACTTGTCCTGCAGCCCTTGCCTTGCCTCCCCATCCACCAGTCCGATACTCACCACGGTGGCTCTGTGTTGTATTCTTCTAGGCACCTTTCCTGGGACCAGTGCTGGGCTTTCCCCCGCAGCTCAAAAGGCTCATGCCCAGGGCTATGCACCTGGCAGTGCCTCTTTTAGCCCAAAGCGTGGACTTGGCAACCAGTCTGAGCCCTGGAGCAGCAGCGGGAGCCTCACGTTACAGCGGGCCGGCCAGGCTAGCGCAGTCCGACAAGAGACAAGAGGGACTGAGGGGGCTGGGAGGGGCGGAGAGCTGCGCAGCGGGCCCAGGAGAGGGAGGATGTGAGAAAGGAGTGGAGGGGGACGACCCTGCCCACTTCCCCTAGCCCCAGGGCTGGGATGGGGGGTGGGCAAACAGGACGGCTTACCGCGGGTACAGGGCTCTGGGTCCGAGACACAGAGAGGGCTTGGACCCGAGGGACCTGCTGCTGGTAGAGCCCGTGGGCCGTGTCTAGGGGCCGGGCCCAACTCCATCCCTCAGGAGCCTCACGCCCGCAGCCGTCCGGTGTCAAATTCCAGCCCCGGCGTCACCGGATCCTGGGGTGGGGCCCAAGCACCCCCGCTCAGCCCCACCTTTCAGGGCTCACCTGGCTGCTCCACCCTCCAGAATCCGGTCCCCCTGGCTCCTCTGCGTCCCCAGAGGTGGAAGGGAGGAGACACTGGCAAGGGCCCCCAGGACAGAGGGGAGAACCCAGGCGGCGCAGAAGCGCGGAACTGGGCGGCCACAGTTTGTAGACATTTGAAGTAGGGAGTTGGGAGGCCGGGCTGAGGGTGGGAGAGGGAGGGGACAGGCCAGTCCCTGCCTTGGGCCACCGGCCTTTGGGTTCTCACGATCTCCACCCTCCACACTAGCTGCTCTCTCTGATCCACTCCTAGTTTCTTCTCTCAACAGACCCACTGGAATCCTTGGGTCGGTGAGGCACTGCACTGGAGTTTTCAAGGTCTGATCCTGCTCTGGTCTCCCCACCACTCCCTTCCCGCGCTGCCTGGGGCTTGGAGTCCAGACACACCTGCAAGCACCGCTGCTTGGCCGGAACAGCTGAAGAAGGGGAGGGTCCTGGAGGAGGAACATTTGCACTGAGGCTTGAGGTAGGTGCTGGAGGGTAGTATTTCAGATGCCGCATGGCAATTTGGCAGGTGGGATGGAGGCTGGGCGAGCAACATGGGTAGAGGTAAGGAAAGGCCAGATCCTGGGTGTCATACTGGGGAGTCTGGACTTTATCTCGTTGACACTGGGGACTACTGAAAGAGTTCAGGCAGGAGAATGGTGTGATCAGACGTACGTTTCAGTGACTGGCTATGGCTGCAGCTGGGAGGATGGTTTGGAGGTATGTTGGGAGGCTGCTGGGGGAGAGAGGAGGCGAGCTGAGCTGTAGGTAGAGCATGGGGCTTTGTGGGCTCTTGTAGGACCACCCCTTTTTGCAAACTCTGTTGGTACCTGATTGGATGGGGTTAGGAAGCAGGACAGACAACTGCATACTTTTGACCTGGGTCACCAGAGGGAGGGGATGTATCCTTGCAGCTGGGGCTCCTGGAGGAGGGACAGGTTGGGGGCAGGAGCACATGAGTTCAGAGTCTGACATGTCAGGTTGGAGGGACCCGTGTATTATCCTAGTGGAAATGTTCAGGAAGTGGCTGAATTTGTCACCTGGCACGAAGTGAAGAGAACTGGGCTGGAGATGGATTTGGGAATTGTTGATCAACCGACAATTGGAAGTGGTGGGTAGGGGTGAAGGTGCTCAAGGAACGTGTGTGGATGGGCGGAACCCTGGCAGTGCATCAGAACTACCTGTGGACCTTTTAAAACTGTGTGCATCCAGGCCCCACCCCAAACCTGAATCAGAACTGGGGTGAGCATGTGCATTTTCCATATCTGCACAGGTGATTCTGGGGTATGGCCAGCCTGAGAACCACAGCTTTTGGGAGAGCAGTTTCCATGCAGCAGTGGGGACTGACTGGTGGGGCTGGAGGCTGTCCCCAGGCTTGGCAGGACCCCTTGGGACAAGAGGCCAGGCAGTGAGCAAGCAGCTGTGCTCTCTGCTGCCTCCCCACCGCCAGCTGCCCAGTTGAGGGGGAGGGTTCTTCCCCGGGGCTTTATCAGCCAGGCCTTCACTTGCAGGCATGCAGCCTATGCCCTGTACAGCTCTACGGGCATCATTCATGTAGCACACAGTGTGCACTGGAGTTTGCATCACATTGGCCTTGTTTCCAGCAGAATCAAAGGGGGTTTCTGGGCCTGCCTGTCCCTCAGTCAGGGCCTTGCTTTCCCCTCAGCTGAGGAGGCTTCTTCTGAGGACAAAGCACAGCAGTAAAGGGGCATGTGGGCAATTGGGAGGGATGGCACTGGTATTGGGATGGCAGGTGAGAGGTGAGAGGCCAGCCAGCCCCACCTGCTGCACTGTGGCAGCTCTGGCAGGACGCTCACTCCAAGGCTTGTGGCCTCAGGTACGGGCATGTGTTGGCCTCATTCTCAGGCCTGCCTAGGGGTGCTGGGAAAGGGAGAGAGCAGATTCCAGGACTCTAGGGGTGTAGGGTTGGAGGTAGGGGGATGTCCTTTCTAATGTTTGCCAGAGGGAGCCTAGAGCTGGGCTGTGCCTTCCTGTTCTGTGCAGGAAGAGGGGTGCTCAGGGGAGACTGTTTGCCAGTGTGCTAAGTGGGGGTTGTGTCTTTCCAGGGCTCAGCTGGGGCTGCCAGGAGTGGGTTCAGTCCATGGGCTGCTCTGCAGTGCATCTTTCTGGGCTTGCCGGAATCTCTGTCCCTAGGGCTTGTGGGCTCCAACCCCCTGCCTTCTGGCTCTTTTAGGAGGCACCAGGGCAGATTCTGGGGTATGCCCTGATACCCCTGGTCTGCCTCTCTTAAGGCAAAGAGGGTACAAGACTATATGGGACAAGAGAGGCTCCAAGAGGCCCGTAGGTGGCTACCTAGGTCCTGCAGCTGACGCAAGAAGTGAAAGGGACGAGGGAGGGCTGGAGAGATGGCCCTTGTGTTTAGCACTGTTGCTGAGGCCCCAGGTTCCTGTTTCTCCCAGGAAAGTCAGAGGAAGTGAGAGGAGGCCAGGTTCAGGGAAGAGCTTTATTGCTTCCATGATGGCTGCCCAGCATGGCTGCCACAGCCTGGGCGAGGTCCTTGAGCCTCACTTCCCCCTGGTCCAGGCTCAAGGTAGAACCCAGGAACCTGGCAGTCTCATTGCTGAAATCCAGAACAGCTGCCAGGTCGGTCAGTCCAGGCCTGGGGCACTGTCCAAGGGGTCAGTTGCAGTAGGGGAGGGGGCCATTCCCATCAGACTGTGCCAGGCCTCGCCTCCTGAGCTCTGAAGTTCTGTCCACTCAGGCCCAGGGGCATCTTGTTGGCTTAAAGGATGGCTCCAGGGTTCCCTGTGGGACAGCTAGGGGCTGCTGAGTGGGAGTACCCCACCTTCTCCCCAGGAAAGGCCAAACATTGTAATGAGCTGGCGAGGACTGGCCTGAGATCCTGCCCATGTCCCTGCAGCCCCGGAGCAGGGCCTGTCATGGCACTCCCCTGAGACCAGGGAGCCCACTGATACCACTGCCTGAGGGGCCCTTTACTGGGTCTCTTTCTGCACGGCAAATGGACCAAACTTGACATCTCCAACCATATTTAAAAATAAATTATCCCTCCCCTCCCCCCACCCCAAATTCACAAAATGATAATACACTGAACACTGATTGGAGAAATGATTCCGGCAGCAGCCTTGCTGCCTAATGTCTACCTCCTGCATGCTGGGCCTGCTGGGCACGGCCAGTGGCCTCCTGGCCCTTTGGCTGCAAGGACCCAGGCTGAGAGTGAGGCCGAGTGCTGGTCTCTGAGGCTGGCCTCCGAGCAGACACAGCTCTGGCTGCCCCGCCAAGGCTTCGTCACCCCTGGGGCCACTTGGCACTGTCCTTCTCTGGGTTTGAGGAACCCCGTGCCTCTCAGGCAGAGCCAGACCCAGGCCAATGAAGTGGGCGGGTGGCGGTGGCTGGACCTTTGCGGCTATGTGCTGGGTCCACCTCAGATGCCACTGGTTAGGTCAGTGATGACATGCGCTTTCACCAGCTTCCGCAGAAACTCTTTCTCTCGCTGAATATTGTGCGTCCAGGACTGGAAGAAAAGATGGAGCAGAGATCAGGGGGCAGCCCAGGTGGCTACCGAGACGTGGCCCTGCTAAAGTGCACCTTCCCAGGACTCAATGCCCTCTTCTGACCAGCACTCCCGACCCCCTATGCCTGCAGGAGGTCTGCTCTAGAAGTGCCACAGCTCACCCTCCTCCCTTCCAGAGGCTTGGAGAAAATGACCTTCTAACCCCCTCCCCCAGCCCAGGAAAACCGTGCCTTTTAACTTCTTCCAAGTCTTAGGAGAGTAGGCTTTCCAACCTTGTTCCCACAGACTTCAGCCCCTCCTTCCCCGGCAGCTCGTCTGGGGCCTAGGTCCTAGGCACCCAGAGGTCAGGCAACGTGAGTCACTTCAGTCCGGCCCAGGCCTGGGGGTGGGCCCTGCTGGAAAGTGAACCACGTGGGTGGCTTAGTCATTCTCGGCCTGATGCAATCTACTCTCCAGGCCTGGGGGCAGCTGATGAAATCCTACCTCAGATCAGAGGAGCCAGGGGGTTGGAAAACAAGCTCATCTTACTAGTAATGTGGACATTGCAGGGAAGACGCTGCCAGCCAGGGCTTTTCTGGGGAAGACAGCTCCCAGGCTCACTTTCTCTCCTATCCCCAGTACTCTCACTAGGAAGCTGTGATGGCTAAGTCTCTCAAAGAATGAAAAAGGACTGAATGAATAAAAGAATGCTGAAACCAATAGCCTTGACACAGTCCGGACACAGCTGACCGCTCTGTTGCATCGGTCAGCACTGAGGCTTGCCCTGGCCATGTTCACGGCCACTATTTACCAACATGAAGAACTTACAGCTCTGGTCTGGTCCTTGTTGATCCAGTCCTCCTTCTCCAACCTTCCAAATATTTTCAGTCTGAAACTTGGGCAAAATTCTCTATTACCCTCTTCTCTGAACTCTCCCTTCAACGTCCTGTGCTCACAAGCCTGGCTGCCCCTCAGGACAGCATCCCCAAGATACGCTCTTTCTTCCCTCACATCCACGTTCCAGGGTGCCTGGAGCTGGGCAGGGTCTCCTTCACTCTTTGTTGCTGCATCTACACAACTGTACCTCGGTGCTCCCTCAAACCTCTGGCTCCTT